AAGGCCCAAGAAAGTTGAAAAACCAAGCGAAGCATTTCCAAATGAACTCCTGGAACAGATATTAGCTTCAAACAATTTAAACGAGACTTTAACTGAAGAACAATTCCAGCGAGTCTTTAAAGTGTACACTTCTACGCTGGATAGTTCTGGAAAAGGTCTTTTAAGTGCTTTCACTATGAAACTGATCAATTTGGTCATAAAGCAAAAGGTCAATGAGAGTATTCAAGTAAATAGGCTTTGTGTATTAGGCATGAATCATTTATTCTCTGGAGCAAAAGACGAAAAGACTAGAGCTCAGCTTGTTTCAGCGTATGTCGTGTACCTTTCGATGCTGGTTGAAACAAGCAAATCGACTTCGCTGGATTCTTTTGGCATTATAAAGGAATCTTTATCCTCTGCTAAAGAGCTTATCGAATGTAAAGATAAATTGTATGCGCTTGAAATGAGATTCAGAATGAAATATCACACAATGCTGCATCAAGGCGAAGAAGGTGATGATATTGATGTGCTTTCGTACTTGAAGGAAGAAGCTGTTTCAGGAAGGCTCAGGTTGAACGATAAGATTACAAAAAGCTATCTGGAATATTTGAAACACGAATGGCCTCAGCAGGCATTTCAGGTCACAAGTAAAGCGATCCTTGCTTCTACCGGGGACAATCAAACTCAGCACTTTTGGCATTTAGTTTCAACGTATTCAGATTATAAGCAAGATATACATGATGAAATACTGAACACTTTGAATGATTTAAACAACGAAAGTCCGTATTTTATTAGGATACTCAACTTCTATGTCACATCGCTAATTGATTTGGAAAGCAATGCCAGCTACGAAAGGTTTAAATTGCTAACAGGGAGCACATACAAAACTTATTTCATTATTCTGGAACTTTTCTTTGAAAAGACATGCAGCATTCCTTGCGATTCTGTAACTTCGCAAACCGATAAGGAAGGAGTTAAATTGTTCTGTTCTTTAATTAAGCAGAGAAAACTATCGAATGTTCCGGTGGAAGTTTTAAAATGGCTTTTCATAGAGTCGTCACAAGTTTTTATTGGCTTTATGATAATTCAGTTGTATAGTTGTGAATCGAACATGGAGATCGTTGAAAGTATTTTTATATTGTTACAAAACCTGGAAGATGTAGAAATAAGGAATCGATATTATTTGCAGTTGTTAAATTTACTCAAAAAGGCTTCCTCTTCACAAATTGAAACATCCAAGAGGCTAACTGAAATGCTGAAGATATGTTCTGTTCGATGTCTGAGTTTCTTTGAAGTGGATACAATTTCTGAACTCAGTCGCAGACTTTTTCAAGGGAATATGGATGCTTACATTTCTCCTGATGATCCAAACAAGTTGAAAGTCTCCTGCATAGAATTTGTCGATAAGCTTCTCTCAGGAGAGAAACTAGAGGATAATGAGTTCATTCCACAAGTAGAAAGTCAAGATTATGATTCTATTCTGAATTTGAGTGTTAGCTTTGATAATGAGTGTGTCCAATCGACCATTGATCTGGTTTTGTTATTCGTAAAGGTCATTATAACAGAATACAAGTTCAATTGGTTCATGAAAGCAGATGCTTTTCCTAATATAGAAGCTATACGTAGCGCTTTATCATTTAAAGGCAGCTACTTGATCAGTTCGAGGCATTTGCAAATTATGCAGAAACGCTTTTTGATATACTTTGTTAATATTGGTTGTTTGGAATCTGATCCTCTTGTGGATTTGAATGTCGCATTGTCCAAGAGAGAATTGAAGAGCCTAGCTTCTTACGCTAATAATCCATCGTATAAGAAGTCTGAATTTGATTATCTCGTAGCAAAAGCTCATTATGCCCTTGGAAATTACAATGAAAGCATTGATATTCTATTAAAATGTTTCGGCAGATTGAAATCATCATTATCGACAGCAAAAGGATTTTGTCTTGACTTAAACAATCAACTCTACGAAACTCTGGTTTTGCTGGCGGAATGTTATTACAGAAGAGGTTCCTTCAGGGAATGTCGTTATATTATTCAAGAGGGATTACAAATAGCAAAAAGTATTGGTAGCGAAGGGAATATTTTTGATATTCTTTCATACAAGATCTCAAAAGAAAGCAATCAAGCTACTCAAGATATAGACTCTCAGAAGATACAAGATCTGTTGCTGTCTTACAAGAGGCTGGATTCATGGTCTATAAAGTTTGATTCTCTGCTGGATGATAAATCTCAACTGAGTTATAATTTGAAGCTGCTGAAGACTTCAATCTTCAAGGAGGCGTACTTTGTGACTGTTCTGAAAGAGAAACTACTTCAAGATGGCAGGCTTCTATTAGTGAATAGTGAGACTCCAGAGTACGTTGAATTGTCACTATTAAAATCAAAGAATGCAGACATCTCAACAAGCAGCGTTTCGATTTCTAGAAGATTCTGCCAACCATTTCTACATTACTGGAATGTTCATAGCTACATCAAGAAGCACCTCTCCTCTTCTTATTTTAGATCCTTGTTTGGTCTAGCCCTAAGTAGAGAAATGAATTTGAAAACGACCGACACAGAAAAGATTAGTTCTCTTCCGCAAAGCACAGTAGCATTTTCACTGGCATTCTCTGATGTTGAAGGCCAGCTTGTTTTTTCTGTTGGTTCAGCTACAGAGCAATTCAACTGGTCTGTTCCGTTCACAAGCGATCAAATCACTTGTTTGAAGAATTCAATGAATGACATTCTAAAGAAGAATGACGAAATCAACAAAGAAGGAGCAGCTTGTACATCGATCGAACAAAAAATGAAATGGTGGAATGAAAGGTTTGCCCTTGACAAGAAGCTTGGTGATTTTCTTGGAGAGCTAGAATATTCTTTGAAACTCAATCGAATTAGAGATATGCTAACAATAGTAACCAACGTCTCAGAAGATATGAATGAAGTATTGTCCTCGCTTAATGAATTTGTGCAAAAGAAACTTGGAACAGAAGCCAAAGCTACTTTGCTGTCCTTATTATATCTAAACTATGCTTGCGGATCAACAACATTGGCAGATTCACAATTAACTGAGACCATCAGCACTATCTTACAAAATTCGCTAAGCTCAAAAGAAAGTACGAAATCTATCCAGGTTGGCAATGAAGATTTGGCAGAGTTTAAACAAATTATTGACAGCATAATGTTTCTTGCCTTCAAGAAGCACTTTCGAGCACCGAAACATCTATTTATTGTTCTAGACAAGAATCTATGCGGCCTTCCCCTTGAGAATATTCCATCATTGAGAAACTACTCATTATCAAGAGTACCCTCCCTTGAAATACTTGAAAATATGCTGAAGATAGTATCACCAAAAACGAAATCTCTGGATTATCGGATATCATCCAAGAATACTTTTTACTTGTTGAACCCGTCAACTGATTTGAAGAATACAGAAAATCGATTTGAATCGCTTTTGAAAGCAGATGACAGTTGGGATGGAATTGTAGGCAAAATTCCAGGGGATTACGGCGTTATTCAAAAAGTAAGACAAAGCAATCTGTTCTTGTACTTTGGCCATGGAGGAGCCGAAAAATACATCAAGTCGAATGAACTGAGAAATAATGGCATGAAGAAACTTCCATGCGCCTTGCTGTTTGGTTGTAGTAGCGGCTATCTAAAAGAAGTTGGGCAGTTTGATCCTTATGGAACAGTGTATGATTACATCGCTGGTGGCAGTCCTTCAGTTCTGGTTAATCTCTGGAACGTCACAGATAAAGATCTTGATCGATTTACATTGGGACTGTTTCATAATTGGGGTTTGCTACGAATGGAAGGAAAAGAAGTGGAAGCTCCAAAGAACCTTGCTGAATCTCTAATGCGCGCCCGCGATGAATGCAAACTTCGTTATCTTACTGGATGCGCCCCTGTTCTTTACGGGATTCCTGTTTCATTAATAGACGCCGAGTAAGACTTTCCATATTTTCTATCTTGAAACTGCAATGACAAAATCATTCAAAAACTTTCTGGACGCAAAGTACTCCTTATCGCTGCTTAAAGACGAGATGTTCCAGTCGTATAATAACGTTCTACAACATTTCTGCTCGTTGGAACGCGATGTTATCTTTATTGCCACCGAATATGTTCCTTGCGCGCTTAGCGATCAAGTATCAGTTATTGACCTCGTTGGAGCAAATTTTGATGAGTTATCAAATGTTTTCATGGACAGCTTGGAGCAAAGCAAGGATGCCATCCTAGTGGTGCAGAACTTGGGCGTTTATCTGTACTCAAAATCAACCAAAGAGCTGGCAAGATTTTTGGATACGATACGGAAGGCTTTACAAGAGAAACCTGCGGTATCTGTAGTGATGGGCATTCACATTGACACAGTGGAAGATCCTGATGCACTGAAGTTTATCGAAGGTTACTTTGACGTGGTTTGTCGTGTTCAAAATCTCCAGCGATTCCTTGATTCTCATTCTGGATTTCAATACGTTGATTTTGTCTCCAAAGAGAAGCGCAATGAGAATATAGTGGATCCCCAAGATAACGCTGAAATATTTCTTTGCGAATTTGAAGTGTGTAAGATGGATGCCAAATACGTGCGTGAGGATATCATCGTGACAACTGATGAGAATGGATATATCAACACCTCTAACCTCTCGACACTTACTGATTACTTTCAGGCAGAGAAGGCCAAGAAGGTCCAAACGAAAGAAGAACCTAAGCATGAAGTCACTTTTAACGTTTCAATCAATGAGCAACAAGCAAAGGATCGCGAAGGTGTCATTCTACCTTACATGCGCACTAAAGATGAAGGATCCGAAAAGAAGTCTAATGTTGCGAATATGGCAATTCACTACGTACCCGACGCAGACGACGATTTTGATGACGAAGACCCAGACGCAGATCTAGAGATTTAAATGATATGCAGGGTATAGAATAAATTTTTAAAACGAGGATTATGGAGATCAAATGGGACTCAATTATTTTAAAGATCCTGTTGCTGGGATTTCATTAAAGAGTTGGGTCCGAATTTGATTGCTTTTCCTACAATATCATCTTCTCAGATCGTATAATGGTTATTATCCCCGCCTGTCACGCGGGAGACCAGGGTTCGATTCCCTGTCTGAGAGTGTTTTTTGCCTGAACAGGCAAAAAATTTGGTGCGTCGAAATTGGTAAGTTATTTTTTGGTGTCGAAAACTTTTGATCCTGATCACAAAATTCAAAACTTCAGGCAGTTCTTTCAAAAATTCGAGCTTCGCTTTGCGGCTTGCCTTATTGTCAAGACTTACAAAACAACGATACCAACCTAAACAACCAAAAAAAGGAAAGCTCTCAGACAGGGAATCGAACCCTGGTCTCCCGCGTGACAGGCGGGGATAATAACCATTATACGATCTGAGACTTGCTTACGAGAAATAGTTATGTGCTCAAATTAAGCCTTTAGCAGTTGGACGTCTTGCTTCATTACATTCGCCTCACAGATTTACCCGGTAAATAGCATCCCACTAGTAGAAAGTATCAGATTTCTCGCACACTGAAACTTCTGACCAAGAATGTTTAGTCATGGAGTCGACTGCAGGAAAATGATAATCGCTCATGGGCTCAAAGTAAGACACTAGTAGAAGTGTTGGAATAGAATCCATTATCAAATAGTTTCAAGGTTCATCAGTTTATCCAATATAAACTGTGATTCTTCTTCACTATCAAAGTCGCACTTAGATGAAACGATAACATGGATGTTCTCGGGACAGCAGATGTTTGAAACGTGTATGAAGTTTCACACTTTAGGTTTATTTCTTCGGTTTTCTCTGCAACAACATTTCTTCATCATCAGTCATCAATATCCATATTTCCCATTTGCTTCTCAACAGCTGTTGTACTAGAAGATGCCAAAGTCTGATCTCGATCGACAAATGGAATTCCGATAGAATATTGTTCCACACCTTCAACATGCTTATGAACTTTTGTGATTAGATCATTAGTTTCCTGGTGTTTCCCCCGTTTCTTCTGCAATTCATCGGTTCTACTTCTTTTACTGCCCCTCAAATTGCCAGGAGTTGGATCTAAACATGAAATTACTTTCTGTTCAGTGTAACTGTCAAGAATGTCATCAGGCACAACGAAACAAATGCTCCAGTCAATATAACCTTTCGAACCAGCACTCATATCTAACTTAGAAAGCCATTGGACGTTACTTGAAGTAATTTTGAAATCATGCTTCGTGATAATCGTCGCATTCATCATGCGGTCCTCAACAATAAAATCAACTGCGGTCTCGTTGGAACGGGTAGAGACGTGAAACTCTGCATCCACTGTACTTATTTCCTAATACCCTCGGGACAAATTCAATTTTCCGGGCTTGATTTCAACTTCATCCACAAACGCAGTTTTAAGGTTCATTCTTTTGAACTTACCGCCATTACGTAGCATCTATATGGCATATTTTTCAAACACATCACCAGCAAAAACCGTCGCATGGTTCTGTCGGCAATATCAGATTGCGGCTGTCAAATCAACCACTTTGTCATCTTTGGCTTCATTAAACACTTTCATGGTGACTTTTTTGGATGCAGGATGGTAACTGAACTTTGAATAGTCGTCACTTGGAACCATGTGGACCAGATCATGAAAAGTCTCTGGTGGATTAGAAAAAGAGGTTCCTGAAAACTTCAACAACGCTTTTGGTGACTCCACCCTTTTAACCAATCCAGTCAATTCTTCATCAATTGACATGTTAGTGTTCTTCAAGACATGTCTTGGTACACCACCAAATGCAAGAAAACGCTCCATTAGCCTTTTATCCGTGACCTTACTGGGTAATCAAATGGACAGCAAATTCTTGAATTCCGATCCGGACCATGTTGGCATGTAAGCATATTGGTGTCCGTCTGCCTTTTTGAACTCATTAATACCTTCAACATTACGTGGAGATGAGACCGTTATAACGACACTCCATGTAGCAAGAGCTTTAACAGAATCATACAGCACAACGGAATTAGCTTCTTCTATGACGCCCTTAACCTTTTTTACTTCAGCTGATACGGGATCCAACATAAAGTACGTATCAGGGACCGAATGATGACAGTAATAAACAGTGGCACCAAGCTTATGGAAGAGATATACCGCATACAACTGCATCATTGATTTACCAGTTCCTGGAGTACCAATGACTGATAAAAGCTTATCTAGCATGAAACCCAGTTCAGTATCTTCTTCTTTGACAGTAGCAGTCAATATACCAGTTTTCATAAGTATGTCATCATAGCAGTTGCGTATCACCAGCTTCTCGTAAGTTCTTTTATCAGCAAATTTAAAAGACTGAAACTTCAAGTAACTGGTTGCAGTCTGTTCATCAACTAGTTCTTCAGCCTTTGCCATGCTCCTCATAGCGTTTATGATCGTATCCTGTGCGGCTAAAGTCTCATCCGATGGCATCTCATTGTTAGTCACTTGGGGAGTGAGTTTATTCTCTTTCTCCATAAGCAGGAATTTCTCCTGGTGCAAGCTGGTGAGTTCAGCGGTGGCGGATTGCAATAGTACTGAATACCGCTGAATTTCACCGTCACCTTAAGCCTTCTGCAGTTGCTCCTGCGCTTTCTCAACTTTCTCCTTTGCTTTGGCGATCTCAGGCTGAATAGCGGCAATGGCTGCTTTTACTTCATCAAGTTGCTGTTGATTTGTCATGGTCGATTTTGAGAAAAGAAATCTGCAGTCCCAACCGATGCTGAGCCATAAACCAGCGCTAGACGCTTCACAACGCATCAAGCCCGCTCTTCATTGCTGCACGAAGCCCGAGGGACGTTCTTATTGGTGAAATCATACGCAGCTACACATTCAGTGTCACAGCATAAGCCTGGCTTTTTTGGAGGTCTCGCTTGATAACAATCGCTTTATGGGTTCATTCCTCCGATGCATCGTGTCGCAGTAAATGACCAATTAAATTTTTCAAACGCTGATACTTCTAACCAAGCGTGAGGCATTTTCTATTGTGTTTGATCGCAAGATTTCTGTGATTTTCCAACTTTGATTTGATGACTGAGAAGACTTGCCAGAACAAGGGCTGCGGAAAGAAGTACACGGAATCTGAGAATACGGAAAGCTCTTGCTCACATCATCCTGGCGGTCCGATATTTCATGAAGGCCTAAAGGGCTGGGCCTGTTGCTCGAAGAGAGTGATATCATTTGATGATTTCCTTCAAATTCCTGGCTGTACCGTAGGGGCACACTCCGACAAAGTTCCAGAAGAACCAAAAGTTGAAGCTACCACGAAAGCACTGGTCGAAGTGAAGAGTGGAACGGAATCATTCCAAGTAGCACCGTCAATCTTTTCAAATGTTCGCATGAGTAATGAAGCGTTACAAGAACAAACAAAGAAACCAGAACCTGAAGTAGAAGACGAAGATCCTGTTGATTTTAAGGCAGAGGTTGGAATGAAATGTAAACGCAAAGGCTGCGGTTTCGAGTTTACCGGAAACGATGACGTTGAATGTGTTTATCATCCTGGTGCGCCAGTGTTCCATGAAGGATCAAAAGGATGGTCGTGCTGTTCTCGAAAAGTGTTAGAGTTTGAAGAGTTCCTAAAGATCAAAGGTTGTAAAACAGGACGGCATTTATATGTTGGCACGAGAGAAGAGAACCAAGAGCAAAAGCAGAAGGAAAAGAAGCCAGAAGTTAGACACGATTGGTATCAGTCACCAACAGGAGTTACGATTTCTTTCTACTCCAAGAAAGTTGATCGGAATGCATGTGATATTACGTTTGAGGAACAGAAGTTGACAGTTAAATTTACCACCGCTGATGGCCTTCCGTTTGTCTTTGAGTCAGATTTGTTCCAGCCGATTGTTCCAAATGAGTGTAGCTATATGGTTCTAGGCACCAAAGTTGAAGTGAGTTTGAAGAAAGCGAACGGGATCTCTTGGCCATCAATTGAACCAACAAACAATGTTACCTCATGGACAACTTTTGGTATTAGTGGAAGAACAGGAACTGTTGGCGCAAAGGAGATGTTTATTTCTGAGGATTCTCCTCTGTACGCATTAAAGTGAGTTAAGAATACGATTAAAGTGTCAGTAAACTGCTTTTACACAACATCTAATCGTCTAAATCTCTTGTGGAAACTTTAAACCATTCCAAGTAAGAAGCATCTCTAGCCATCGCTTTCATTATTGATTTTCTAATACACAAGACCCAAAACATGATCAGAAGAATTAATGTAATTGTGTATTCAAAGTAGCCAAGAAGAATAATAAGAGAAATGAAAAGAAAGAGCAACATCAATAACTCAGAACAGAAAGTAAATATCGCTCTGGGATTCCTTTTGTACAGCGGATGAACAAATAGCTGCAGTGTAAGTATTGATGTCAGGATTATCTCAAAAACAGCGAGCACGGGCACACCTCGATATGGATTCAAAGTTAGACTTGCAACAACCAAAGAGAACACATAAGTGAACAGCCTCAGGAAATTTGTCTCATTGTGATAAAACATTGGAGTAGTAGGTAGAACAATGAGATACACTTTGTCTTGACTTGTAGGATCAGGCTTTTGTGGTTCTTGTTCCGGAGACCAGAGAGCTTTTACCAAGAAATCAGTAACAATATTTCCATTAATAGTGTGACCAGGCAGCAACTTATCCAGCAGATTTTTCGTTTGATGTTGTAAGAAACCAAAGTTCAACAGATACGAAACAGCAAGAATAATTGATATGATCAAGAATATAGTGGTTTCTGGCGTGTAAACATGAACAAAACTTCGGTGACCAGCGAGCATTATAACTAAAAGTAACCAAACAGACCACAGGCCCGCATAGACATTTTCGTTGTTGTAGTTGAACTTCAAGCCAAAGGAAGCGATGGACAAGAGAGATGTAAAGATTGTCAGGATAACTAGCGGAAGAGCAAGATGATACAGAAAACCCATAGCGCCACCAGTTCTATAAAAGCAGAGTGCCAAAATAGCCAAAATTATTCTGGTCCATTGAAGACAATCTCCTGTAGATTTTGGGCTTGATTGACTCGGGCTCGTAACAGGTTCAGGAAGAAGTGCATCAGTCGGACCAACATCGCTTGCCACTGGTTCTTCCTGTGTAGTTATTGATACTTTCACTTCTGATAAGTCTTTTTCATTCT